GCAGCTGTTAGGAAAACATGGAGCGTCAAAGAAATGAGAGAAGCTTCAGACTTGGGAAGACCACACTGAATGTCCCTTCCGACCCTAAACTTCCGTGAATGTGTTTACCAAAAAAAAAAAACTATTCCTTGCTAATCTCTTATCAAGGTTCTCCATAATTTGGTGAATAAAGGGAAGGGAAATTTTGATTAGATTAAAATTGAATGCAGTGAGTGAGGACAATACCGAAAGTTCAAATGAAACTTACTAATCTCATCTGTTTCCTAGCATGGTAAGATCATTCCCTACACTGCATGTCTTAGATATTGTGTGGTTTTGTTTTAAATGTCTTGAGTAGCAGATCTGCTGCTGCCTCCCTTGGGAAGCTATATTTCAATTTTGCAAGAAACTGCTAAGAAGATTTTTGGTTTAAGATCAGACATTTCAGTTTTCTTATTTAAGTCCTTGTACTATGTTAAATTTATTTCCTGCCTTCAGCCTTTAAACTTGTAGGTTTCTTTGTTTCTAACTGCCAGTTAGCCAAGCCGCAAATATTTCTTGCTCTCTCACCCTAAATAAATCCTATATCCTATTTGATCTTTGTGACATCAAGGTGTTCTGAACTGAGCATGGTATTTAAGAGGCAGTCTAGTTGGGCATTATAGAGAGGGTAGGTTCCTATCTATATTAATGTGTTGCCCACTATTACTGTGTCTTATTGACAATTAATTCTGTATGCCTCCCTCACAGTAATCTCAGCCATTTTCGCCAGGTGTTTTGATTTACATATATCCTGCAGTATCACTGTTTCTTCCCTGTATATCTAATCTCTCATTTCCTGTGTGTTCCTTTCTGTCCTCTGTGCTACTCGCAACACACATCCCTGTGTTCTGCTTAATTTCTTCCAAATCATTGACAAGATCTGAAAAGAATAGAACAAATGTTGGCCACCCAAAACCATAATTTTGACTTCTAGTTTGCTTATTTCTAAACCAGTCTGTGTCTCGTTCTCTCCCTTCCCGCCCCCCCCCCCCTCTCAGTATTTTTTTTTTTTTTTAAATTGGATGTAGAAATTTACTGAGCAGGTAATAATTGTATTTTCAATGCTTATATGTGCAATACACAATTCTAATGCAGTCTGCTTTAACTCCATGTATGAGATTATTCTGTAGCCTTGAAAATAGAGAAACTATTACCCACTCCCCTCTTCTAATACTGTATAAGTGTATGATTAAACATAAATCTGAAACCAGATATATATTGACTACTTCCTTTTCGAAGCCTGGTTCAAGGACACTTGCCTTCTTGGAACCTCAGTCACTTTTGAAAATGAGACTTCATTTCTAGGACCTTTTAGATCTAGTTCTAGGTCAGTGATTCTCAGTCAGGATGCCATGGCACCCTGGGGTCCCTTGAGATCCTGTCAGGGGTGCCATGCAGTGTTATCACGGTTAGGTATGCAGACATATTCACAAGAGAAACCCAGAGGCTTCCCAATAGGAACCCATAATGTTAAAAGCATTCTGACTTCTTGTAGTCTTTCTGAATTCTTTGCAATAGAAGAATTGTTCTATTTTTCTGTAGTTAAAGAGTGAAAATTAAGAGAAGGCATTTTCCCAGCGGTGCCTCAAGTCTTGTGAAGGGTGCCTTGAATCTGTTGAGGAGAACCTCAATTTTTAAAGATTGAGAACTACTGTTTTAAGAACTAATTTGTTTTGGAATATCACTTGTTCCTAGTGCTGGGAAATACTTTCTTGCTACCAAATATGTGCATCTATTTTGTATAAGGGGATTGACACCTAGGTGAATGTAGGAGTTGCTGCCCTTCTCCCCCATAAATGCTCTGTGACTCAGAATACTGCCTGCTGGGAGGTGTTTGTATGCTGCACTGCATTTTGGAATATGTTTAGAATAATTTCAATAAAAGTGGAGGCTTTTTTAATTGTTTGGTTGTCAATTAGCAGTGCATTGTCTTCACGCTGCAACATTTTTTCCTAAATCAGGTTGTCACATGGAACACGGGCCTCATGCCAAACTGAGATTTCAGTTTTCAATAATCAGTGGTGATCCTAGCCCAAGTGGCAGGCTGCTGTAAACAGTCATCTGATTTTTTTTTTTGATTTTTGTTCCAAACTTCAAGCTGCAGTATCTCTTCTTATTCTGGAAGCTTATCCACTGTGAGACAGCTCTGCCAGCAATACCCCTGGCTGAGTGGGGTATATTACCGTGCACAAAACCTGAAGAAACATCACCAGAATGTTAATGTTAACATTGTAGTAGCTCTTCTCTGGACAGCTGTGTCCAGATTTGATTTAAGAAGTAAGTGGAAATCGGTTTATCTTCACCCCAAAGCCATTACACTTCTTATTCTTACAAAAGAGCTAAGCACTTTTCTTGCATCTTGTGTACAAGTAGACTTTCTTCCTAAAATTTTTTTCAACATTGCTTCCAGAAGTTCAGTTCTCCCAGTAGTATAGTCTATGGGAGGTCTTCAGGGCCTCCAGTGAGCTCTGGCATGTTACCCATTGTATTAGATCAGTGTTTCTCAATCAGCAGGACAAAGGTCACGTAGGTGGGACTTCAACTAATTGCCCAATTGAAAAAAACAGTTGTTTGCACTTCAAGTAGATGAATCAACAGATCTCAAACAGTGCAGTTTTGTAGGGTTTTGTTTTTATCATGGTGGGGCCAGGGTTTTGACAAAATGGTTGACGGGATGTAAGCTGCAAAAGGTTGAGAACTACTGTATTGGATAACCAGTCTGCAAACCAGGTTAGGAAAGGCGGTGCCTAAAGTGCTGATAGTTGGCTGGAGACTTTTGTACACTACTGCTTTCACTGATCACATGTAAAGTGGTACAGACAGTAGCAAAAATGGAAGAATTTAGGAAGAATGCCAGTGCAGATACTAATGGGTAATTCTGTACTGAATTGTGAATCAGTTTTAATTTGGAACAGATTCTCTTCAGACGCTGTACCTTGCATTGTAATCTTCATCTTTTTGAGTGTGATCTTCATGTTTTAGTGTAACCTCTACTGTGGAGAAGAGCATCCATTTTTATATCAGGGGATTAACACCTAAGTGAATGGCTTAAACACAGGGAGGTAGAGCAATCAACTCCTCTCTCATTTATCAACCACCCAGCAGAATGATCAACTTTCTACAAAAGTGGGAAGAAAGAGTTATAGTTCTGTAGCCTGGACACATTGCCGAAGGAGTTGGATAGCGTTTGAGAGTGAACGCTTTGTGACCAGGCTAGTGCCACATGCAAAGATCAGGCCAAGGAGAGCAATGGTGGGAAAGGTTGCTCAGCCTAAGGAGGCAGAATAACCCAGGACTGAGCAGGGGTGGAGGGAATGTGTTCAGAGCCCCTCTTTTGTAGTCTTTCAAAACTCTTAACTCAAGTGCTCTTAGAAGTGAAGTGACTCCAGTAATGAGAGTTCTTTAACAAGCCTGTGCTGCTTGTTTGTCTTCCACATTGTCCTTGAAGAGGTTAATCAAGTAACTGGATCCCTACAGCTAGGTAGAACTCCGAGGGAATATTTAATGCATCTGTGAGATTGGGAAGTCTGAGAAACTGGTCATAGTGTCCCACAGTCTCTCAGACACATTCCCACTGTAGACAAAGAAGGCTGTTAGATACAGGGTTTTAAGTGGGACTGTCTGAGAGAGCTAGGGACAGGATTAGCTACTACCCAAATCCTGGGGTTCCTGAAGCAGCAAGCTGCTGCGTCTATCCAAGGTGTGGAGGGATGTGTGAGCTGGGCAAAGGGGCAGAGGTTAGGCTGCTTATGACAGGTCTACCTTAACGGGTGGAATTGGCAAGATGTGGCCACATACTGCTTTTGAACTGCCTGTTAATTTCTGCTAGGCTCCTCTGTGCTGGATGTACTTGTTACTGATGTCCCAATAATAGCCAGCACTACATTAGTCCCTACATTACAATAATAACTGTACCAATCATGGTTTGAACTCTTTGACAGTAGTATAGATAGGGCTAAAGTATTATCCTGATGCGATCCTACAAGTTACCTGCGAGTATTGCTGAAGATGGGCAGTGGTTAAGTCTGGTGTAGACTGTCCTTAGTAGGGTCAGGTAAGTTTTTGTATTTTGTTCTTATTCACTCCTAAAGTACAAATCCAAACATGCATCAGTAATTGCTTGCTGCTGGAAAATGCTTAAGATTAAACAAATAATGCATAATTTCTGCACAGACAATATTATTGTAAGTTCTGAAGGTAGGAAACGTTATCATACTCCTATTTGGGAGTTGGAAAAAATATGTGGATTGCTGAACCATATTCTTGAGTTTGTTTCAAACTAATGAGGTTTTAGAAATTATTTTAAGTGACCTTGATGAGACTGCTGTTCCCATTATCAAAAATGGCTGTTCAGGTTCTGCTGAAAGTTTTCCAAAAAGAGAATTGACTTGAAGCAGAGGTTAAGCATAGAAAAGTTCAGCCCCGGTTTAAGATAATGATTAAAAACAACTGAAATGGAGTTCTGGGAAGTGGACAATCTTATTATGGTGCTTACCCTTAAATATAAAACAACTATATTGAGGTAAATTTATCTCTTGTATAAGAACTTAGCTTTTTAGCATAGTCTTGTAGTTTAACCTGCAACTACCTATGTTTTGCTTTTGATGGAAAAAAAAACCCCAACTGTTTCAGTCTTGCTTGCTGTTTCATCGCTGGGAACCAGGAGGAAGTAGTACCAGTATTGGCTGTCATTTTCATAGAATGCATTGAAGTATCCCTTTAAATGATAAATGGGTACTTATTTTTCATGTATGACAAACACTGTATTGTACTAAAGGGTCCTCTTAGAATATTAAATCTGAAGGAGTTATTGAAGCCAAAGCAACTCAAATCAGATCCAACCCTAATGAAAGCATGAGACACATTCTTTATAGCAAGGAGCTTGTTGTATCAGGGCTGAATTTAGATCCCTACAGCGAAGAGGTGGTGTTTGGTATAATGAAGTTGATCATTTAAAAGTTTGCTTCTTTTTATTATAGATGGATGGTGATAGTTCTACAACAGATGCTTCTCAGTTAGGAATTGCAGGAGAGTACATTGGTGGCAGTCACTATGTAATACAGCCTCATGATGGTAAGAAACCTACTTGTTAAAGAGGAAGCTGATTATCTCAACATAATAATATTAAGTTTCTCTTTCCATTACTTGTCTAGCTCTTCCATTAATTTCCCATCTTTTATGAAGCTAAAGATCTGTATGCATAACAACTTGCTGTGTACAGTAGTTCTGTTCAATTTGGAAATGGTTTGTCACTTTCCATGTTGTAGTCCAGGCTCCTATGAAAGAATCCTGGTGCTCTAGGAAAGAGGTAACCCAGACCTAATGTGTGTAGGTGTTGCTTGTGCCTTAGAATGATATATTCCATTAAATTTAGTAAGTTTTCATCTCTTCAACAAACATTGATATCTAGAAAAACACTACTGGATGCATTTATGTACATTTAATATGTGAAAAATATCGATTAGGAGGTGTGATACACAACAATTTTATAGGTCTCTCAGTGTTGTTTGTACTTAAAAAGTTTGATACATTCTGGACCTTCCAGGGATGCAAGCAAATGCACTCACTTGAAAATTGGGAATCTTATTTCTAGATACTAAATGCGATTGATTATTTCTAGCCATCTGTCCAAGACGAGTACAGTAATCTTTTGCTGTTGAGGGAGGTGGAATTCCACATTCATGAGAATGAAGGAAACACTTTTGTGGCAAACTTGTTCACATCTAGTATGTTTTCCAGAGGCTTATAATAGAAATAGTCTCAATGGAAATAAATTAGAGAGGTAGGGCAGTGGTGTTCAAAGCTGGCCTTGCAGGCCAGATAGTGGTGTGGGCCTGGTCTGCGGGCTGGATCCCTTGTTGGGTCGTGTGCAGAGTTGGGCCCCACATTCCTAGATCAGGCCCCACGCATCCAGATTGGCCACCTTGGCCCTGTATGTCTGGATTGGGCCCAGTGCCACCTTGGCCTGGCCCTGCATCCAGGGATTGGGCTCCATGCTGCCCTGGCACTGCACACCTGATCTAGTGTGCAGTGCCACAATAGCCAGGCCACTAGGCTCCTGACAGGTCCAGAAATTTGGTAGCAGAGGAGTGGTAATGAATACTGCCACTGCTCCCCTTACTATGTCTTCAGGTCCATGGGGACCCGGCAAGCTGGATGACACAGGTCCATAGGGCAGGGGTTCAGCACCTCTATGTTAGAGTAATGATATGCAAGTAAGATGCTCAAAGGGTATGACAAATATACTTAATGCTAACTTTTTCTTATTTTGTCAGACACAGAGGATAGCATGAATGATCATGAAGACACAAATGGCTCAAAAGAGAGTTTTAGAGAACAAGATATATATCTTCCAATTGCAAATGTGGCAAGGATAATGAAAAATGCCATACCTCAGACAGGAAAGGTAATACCTAAAAACCAAATCTGAATGTATTCGCATTAGTTTTGTTCTTCTGTGAGATGCACAGGAGTTTCGGTATAATGCCCCTCTTTCTATCTGCTGTTTAACTTTGAGGTGGAAGTTATTTAAATAGAAACTCTGTTTGGTCTTTGTCTACAACTTCTGCCAAATTTCCAAAAGTGTGTCATCGCTTTCATAAGTGATGCATCTTTGATACTTAAATTATCAGGTAGTCATTTAGAACATCCTTTTTCTGCACGTTCTTAAAAAATTGTCCTGGTGAGTCAAATTTGGTTATAATCAAATACTGACAGTGATTAAATCTGTAAATAAACTTTGTTTGTTGTTTGTTTTTAAATTGGAAGGAGTTTGAGTGAAATAAGAACCAACACTTTGGTCATGTCTGAGGTCTGGGGTGAAAGGAAAATTAGTTTTTCATTGTTGAATTTCTATATTTGCAAGAGTCAGATGCCAAAATATGATAAGAAGCTGTCATCTTGTGGCTTAAATCAAGCCAGAAATTAGGAGGAGGAGTAGGTATGAGAAATCTTGAGAGAGTGTCCTCAGACTTTTTATCCAGTTCTTAGGCCTGAGACCTGGATAACTGTTAGAGCTCTCTAGCTGCTTATCTCAATCTCACCTTGTGTGGCATGCCTGCTGCTGTATCAGTCATATCTAAATAATGCATAGTACTTAGATTATTGTTTACTGCTGCTGTCTTATCACTATCACTCTTTTTAATTCTGTACAGTATTAATTTCTGTACAATATGTATTTAACTAGTAGCAAGACTTTGAAGTAATGTCTTGCTTCCGAACACTTGGGCTGGGCAAACCAATAGCAACCAAGGTTGCTTTCAGAAGCTTTGGGTGTTTAGCCCATCTGTCCTGCATCAATATACCAGTTTCTTCTTGGTCTTTAGCTAGTGTTCAGCACCCTCTGCCAAAGCCACGTTTTTCAAAGAACTTGGCACCCTGGGTGCTTAGCTGTCTCAAAATATTTTCGTGCAATGGAAGAACCTTCTTGGTGCTGAGTACTCCTGAAAATCCTAAGCATCTGAAATGCTTGAACAAGTTCTTAGGAGCTACTAAAGGAGAAAGTGGAGCTCTGAGTAGAGGATATCACTTTGAGATAGAAAAGTACTTCATGTTCCAGCTGGAATCTTACACATGAGGAAAAATTAAATAATTTCAATCCTTCAGTGGACACCTGCTTGTTTACTTGCCTAACTACTTGGATGCGGACTCCTTTTCCTGCCCACCATTCCATTTTAGTTATGTAACTTTTTTATTTTTAACCAGGGAAAAATTTTAATCTAATCCACCTATTGTATTCTTTCCAGAAAGATTTTATTTGAATATTTGTTTAGAGAATCTTTAACAGAATAGTTGAAAGAGAACCCCTCTTCCCCAATACAAAACAACTACAAGAACAATGACAAAATACTAGAGAAGCTTGCTGCTTTGCAAGTTTAATATCAAATTAATAACTAGTGCTTTAATCTGCTTGAGCTGCAGAAACTTGGACCTAGATAGCTTGAGATGCTGGTTCAGTGGTAGACTAAGAAATTTAAAGGAGAACAGAAGTGAGACACATCTTCATGAACAAGACTTCATAAAGTGCTGCCTATCACATTTGTTATGTTGACTGCAATTTAATTCCTCTTACCCTCCATTACGAAAGGGCTATAGTACCATGAGATGTACAAACACTTGTCTGTTTAAGTATGTCGTAGGTATCGTGGCATATTTTCAGAGAAGAGAGAAGTGTGCAAGCTCAGCTAGTCTCAGTGTGTGTATCTAATGGCTTGTACATGAATTATTTTGAAAACAGTAGAATCCTGGTGGACTGCTTGAATTTATTTATTAGATTTACATTCTGCCCTATCCAAAAAGTCCAGAGTGGCTTAGAATAAGCAAACAACTTACAGACAGATCCCCAAACAGCAATCCAAAACTTGAGAATTAGTAATGCAATAATTTTACTTCAATTAAAACGTTATTGCATCTGCATTTTTGATGGAGCACTGGTGACATCCAGTGGCTGTCTTGCACATACAAACGTGTTTGTTTCCACATGTGTATTCCCTGTGGATAATTATTTTATAGAGACCTCTCTGTCTTCTAGTTCATCTTTCTGGCACTGAAGCTGGGGTCGTGTCATATTTTGCATAGGTATATTTTAGTGCAGTGTAACGGAAACCTCCAGGTAAAGTAAAAACCTTTTATCACACAGTAAAACAGAGTTTTGGCAGAATTAAAGTTAGTTGTATAGATGAGGGAAGGAGAATCTCATGCGGTTGTATGTGGTTTGTTTCTTTGTTGGGTGGTGGGTTTTTTTTTGAACACACCCCAGCATTCACTGCCAAGGAGAGTTGTGACTGCCTAGCACCTCCGTACCTGTGCAAATGAAATCTCAGCACTGAGCACTGGCTTAATAAAGTAGAACTTTAATGTGCAATGTATTGAAAAGGTGAAACTTAACTGAAGTTTGATTTAACTTTTACTAATGGTTTGTCCTACCAGATTGCTAAAGATGCAAAGGAGTGTGTACAGGAATGTGTAAGTGAATTCATCAGCTTTATAACATCTGAAGCAAGTGAGAGGTGTCATCAAGAGAAACGAAAGACGATCAATGGAGAGGATATTCTCTTTGCCATGTCTACGTTGGGATTTGACAGTTATGTTGAGCCTTTAAAGCTGTATCTCCAAAAATTCAGAGAGGTTAGTTACCTATCTTCCATAGGATCAAAACTAACTTAGTATATCTAGCATTGACATTATTGTTACTATAAAAAAAAAAATGGTTAGCTTTTGCTGTACCCAAGATATATATACCGGAAAAGAACAACATGATGTAGGGAAAGAAATATTTCTTGCAAAATCTAACTAAGAGTATTGGTGAAGTTGCTTTTCTGAACCAACTAAAATGTCCAGGTGACTTAAGCTAGAAAAGTTCGAGTGGATAGCAACAATTGGTCTGTGTGGTTCTATTGTATGTACCTAGCCTGATTCTCTGTGTAGTCAATGGAACCATACTAACTTACACCAGCTGTGGACCTGGCCAGCTGTCTTTCTGCAGAGGCAAGAGGTGTCTCTTTAAGCATGTTTCTTACGTAACGTGAGGACTTGCCCACCACATGGTTTTAATCAGTTTTTAGCTTGCGTCTGTATCGTGATCATCGAGTACTTTCCGAATGAGAATAATGGCGTTGAGACCTGCATTTCCTACTTTAGAAGGTAACTCGAGACAGATTGAGTCCCACCTGAAGGAAAAAATAGCTACTACAAGTTTCTTGCACGTGCATTTTCCTCCCTGTTCTAGCAGAAAATGCCTAAGGTTCATGGAAAGTACAACTAGCCTTTTTACCTTGTTCTGCTGTGGGGCTGGAGTTTTATAAACATACATTATTTCCCTGACCCAGTCACCCCTCTAAAGTGATTTCTGTGCTAGAGGTTGCAGCACTTGCTTTATGACTGTGGCCCAGGAGTACTTTCTGTCCAAGCAATTCATTGGCATTTTCTTCCAACAAGCTGCTTGCTCCTCTCCTCAGACTTGTCTCTATATAATGCACCTTATTCTATACCGGGGCGGGAAGTTATTTTGGGCAGAGGGCCACATGACAGGCAGCCAGGGGCAGATAAATATTAATTTTCTAAACTTTTTAGGGGCCCTGCGGGCTGGATAGAATGGCCTGGCAGGCTGCATCCAGCCTGGCGGGCCACATTTTGCCTGCCCCTGCTCTAATCCCATTCCCCTGCCTGATTTGCTGCTCTAGTTTCTGTTTTCTTGCCCTATCTGCCACTGTGCTGCCTATCCCATCCATAGTCTGCCTTATACCACACACAGAGGCTTCCTGTGCCACAGGCTGCCCCCCACTCCTCTATGCTGTCCTTCCCCATTTTGTTGTGGTATTATTTAAGCTGTTTAAACAATGCTTAGCTTGCATCTTGGGACACCCAAGCTGCACTGAGCCTGTTGCAGTATATCTGTGAAAAATTTGTACATGATGCATGTTGCTCCTTCCCTATTTACTCCTTAGAACTACAGACTGCTAATAAGATGATGGAGTTGGTGTTTAAAATCTGGTTCTGGTTTTCTTTCAGTTATTTATATTTCTGGTCAGTTTGCCTTCAGGTTACTATAAAGGGACTGCTTCAAGATTAATTTATTTTTTCCTTAAATATTTGCAATAGTCATTTTATCATAGCTTCAGTCAGGTCATCCAAGAAAGTACTAAATGCATGGAGCATAAAACAGTACATGGCTGACTGGATGTCTTAACTCAGCATGCTGATCTCAGGCTCTGGCTATATAAAATATCTGGAGAAGAAATTTAATATCTTGTTTTTAATGTCAGCTTCCATGTGTGTGATGTTGGTAATACACACAGTTACTTCCCAGTGCTATTAAAATAACCAGGCTTTAAAGCGACAGCATGCAAGGTGATAGAACAACCCAAGACTAGATCTGGTCTTGTGCTAATTTGATATCACAAGAACTTTATCCCAGTGTATGTGGTATTGCACTTTGATTTGTCAAATCTTTAGCAGTCAAGATTTTTTTAAATATTGCATTCTCCAGTGTGCTGTGAATTCTGGGTGCCAAATCTGCAGTATTCATAGTTTTCACAAATCCCTTGTGTAAGAGTACAGTTGTGATAAAAATCACTCTTGGTATCCAGTTAGTTGGTATATTAGCATTTGAGAATACTTCACCATCACAAGTTTTGCATGTCAAGAGCCAAATGTCTTGTTATTGTATAGAGGCCTCTTAGAAGTTGCAGACTTTCCAGCTGTAGGGAACCAGGCTCTTCAGCAGTCTCTGACAAATGTATACTAATGCAAACATCCTTCACAATTCTTTCAAGGCAATGAAAGGAGAAAAGGGGATTGCAGGAACAGTAACCACTGCAGATGGTCTTGGTGAGGAGCTTACAGAGGAAGCATTTAGTAAGTTACATTTAAAGTGATCCTACCTTTAAGTGCATCTAAGATGTAATACAAGGCTTTGCACCTCAGTCAACTAGAAGGTGGGGATTTTAAGATGGTCTGGGATTTGGCATGTTTTTGAGATGGTTGGCATTTTGAGTACACCCATTGAACTTGAGAGGAGCTATCTGTATCAGTTCATTTCATGATTGTTGATATTTTAATTTTAAAATATCTGCTGACATCAGAGGTGAATTCTAATCGTAACTAATATGAAACATAGAGAATGTTTTAGCACGAGAAGGTGTTATAGCACTTACTCCAGATCTCAAAGAACATAGCAGAGTCTAAACATAACTTGAAACTAAGGTTGCAAATTATTTTCTCTCTGTAATACCTGATCATTCATACATATGTTCAAAAGTGCCTAGGCTGGAACAAAATAACTTGAATATGTAATAAAAAAAATAAAACTGACCTTAGTGCCTTAGTCAAACAAAAAAATGAAATAAAGGCTCATCTCTGGCTCTAGTAGCTCAAAGGTGTTCATTTTTCATGTGATAGAATAGAATATTGGTAGAATCAGTTAGTTTTAGATGAGAGAGAATCTTGTACAGTTGTTTTGCTTGTTTGTTTGTTTTTCTTGCGGGGGGTTCCCCCCCTTACACTTCACTAGAGTTTATCTTCCCTCAGTGCTATGGTGTATGAACTGAACTTTGTAGGGGCCTTAAAATTAATACTAGATATTACTAGCAATGAGGACATCTGTTCATCTGCCAGTGTTACCTTTAGAGAGAGGTGCTAAAACATTGCTCTTGCCATAATCGGTGATGTTACTCATTTAAAAATACGTGGAATACTTCATTTAAAATTTATCAGTTGATTAATGCTGTAGAGAAGAGCTATAGACTTGAGGACTGGTGGTGACTTGGTGAACTGTTAAATAAATTTACAAGCTCATCTTTGTCCCTGTAAAATATGGATCAAATATGTGGAGGTTCTTGTAGCACTGAAGTATTTCCATCAGAACTGATGGATATAAGACTTCAAATAAGAACAACATGGTGGATTTTTACAAGTACTTTGTAAAATTGGGGAACATCCCCACATTTAATAAGATATTAAAGTTCACAGTATAAAATCAGAAGTCAGGAAATGCAGAGGCTAATAAGCCTTCAGCAGTAACAAACTCAACTGAGTTGAGTTTCAGAATCTTTGTCTAGTGTTTGTTTAATTAAACAGGGATAAAATACATATGCACGCTGTGACTAAGTAGACATTGCAAAGTCCTAATGTTTGCATGTCCCAAGTTATTTTGATCTAACTTTTCTGATTTTAATTTTCTTTTCCAAGCACTTGCTGTTTTAAGAAAAGAGGGGGGAGGAGAATCAAGCATGTGGGTGTGTCGTACATACAGACACAGAGGTGGTACTAACAGGAAATCTGCATGCTTCCTAGAAGCCCAGGACAGGCTAATTGTGCATGTTTATTATAAGTAATGATACAGTTTTCACAAGACACTCCAGTTATGCATCCCTGTTTAATTTTTGAGTCTGTCTGGAAATCAGGCAGTTCTTGAGCATGTTCTATCTCTCCTTTGCCAAACTTCCTAGTTTGTAGTACATCAAGACCTTTTTTGCTCTGAATATGTGATTTTAATGGCTTATGTTTAAAAAAAGAAAAAGATTTAAAAAAAAGAAGAAGAAAAAAAAAATTGGTTTTAAAAACTTCCAGACTTACCTGGATGCAGGAAATTTTGGCTAGAATTTGGCAGAGCCAGGAAATGTTGCTGGAAGATGATTCTCCTTAATTGTACTTTAGCTGGCAGTGGAGATATGCACAGAACATCTCTCCTGAGGGTACATCTAGACTTAATGTCTCTGCTACATGCAACTTCTTTACTCTGGGCAAAACTTAGTTCAGTGAAAGCCTGCTTTTCTTTTTAAACCTAGCAAATGACCAGTTTCTTTTCTCAAATTAAGCTGTTTGGCTTCACCATTTTATTATTTTTTTTTAAAGAAATGACTTTTTTTTTCCCCCTCTTGACTCCTGTAATGGGTTTTGGTTAGTCAAATTAGTGGTGTGCAATTTTTTATTTATTTTTTTTTTAATTCACTTCAGTAGCTTCTTCTCAACCACTGTTTTTAAGGCCAGAGTCCTTTTGGCATGCCCTTCAGGACCTTGCATAACTTCATCCAGGCCTACATCACCACTTCAACCACCTTTCCTCCTGCTCTGTATTCTGCATTAAAAACCCATCTCCTTTTCACATTCCAATGTCTCTGCCCCAAATTCCATTTCAATTCTGAAAGTAAAACTGCAGAGGGGGGACATTGTTTCATGCAGCAGTATAGACTTTGCAGTCTGGTTTGCAGTGATAATGGGAGTAAACTTGTTTTTCTTAGTAGTAGTAGTAAGCAGGTGCAACTTGGTAACACATCATGAAGTTGACATGAAGGGAGAGACAGTTCTATATCCCTTTCAAACATAAGCCATAAGAAAATGTTCAGTTGTTTAATGGTCTTATAGTCCTTAAATGAGGTTCTGTGTGTCCTGCAGTTCTTGCCTAACTTCTTAACTAAAATGCTCTTTCTTTTAGCTAACCAGTTGCCAGCAGGTTTAATAACTACAGATGGCCAGCAGCAAAATGTTATGGTTTATACAACATCTTATCAACAGGTACTGTATCCTCTCATCCACTGTTTCATTTTCTTGCTAAAATTCAAAGCCCTATTTCAGCAGCCCTATTCTGAAAGAGCTGAGAGTGATTTTTGTATGTAGCCTTTTTGGTGGCGCTCATGACTTCGCTACAACAGTATAAGCTTGCTAAATGTGAAAAAACTTCAGCAGAGGTTGACTTGAAAATAAACTTACTTTCCTCTTTCTCTCTAGATCTCTGGCGTTCAACAAATTCAGTTCTCATGATGCGAAGGCAACTTTGGATCTGAGATCATGAGACAGAAAAGCTGTACAATTCTAAAGAGACATGAGTTTAAAATGACTGGTGAACAGAGATTTATCTCTTTGTATATTAATTAGCTGTAATGTAGCTACCTGAGGCTTGACTAATTGAGGTGTGAATTCTGACTCAAATCTTTTTTCATGAATGATTTTAAAAATTGGATTTTAAAGGTATTAAAGTATTTTTGTTTTGTACAAGAGTTTGTTGCTCTGTATAACTCCTGTATGCATTGTATATTGCAATTTATTACTGTCAGAGATTTGTAGACAGTTTCTTATTTTCATATTGAATCATGTTACTTTTGTAATTCAAGTAAACAGCTGGGTTAATTCATGCTTACCCTTTGAATAAAATACAAGGGTAAAGTTCATTCTGAATGCAAGTTGCCTTTATTATAAAAGTTGAGTTGGTCTTGGTTATGTAACTTGTCTTGCATGACAACTTAACTGACTTTTTGATGTTAGCATATTTATTGAAGTTTTAAAAGACTCATGAAATTCTAACAACTTAAAATTGCTACAATTTGTTTTTTAATGTAAGCTTAGAATTAAAAGTTAATACAGAAAAAAATAATTGTTAGATCTGTTAACTTTAGAAATCAGTGCCCATAAACAGTGTTTATTTTAATTAAACACTGTTTGTGTATGCCTGATAAGTCTTTATTTTGAAATTACTACAAGCATTCATTAATCTTCTTTATCATATTAAGACCTTTTTCAGACATGCGAAGAAGTTATATTAAAAGTAGTCATAGTGCTACTGCTTTCTTTTTATGTACAGTTTTTAGAAGCCAAATCCTAGAATTTAACTGCTTCCTCAACTGTAGTAGGGGGATTTTATAGTCCTGTGCTAAATGACCTCATTTTAAATGACTCTTTTTAACTGAAATGTTGTAAGGTTTCCTGAAAGACTGTGAGAACCCTCAGAAATGTTAAACATTTTGTGGACAGGCGTCTGTGTGCATGGGAGAGTGAATGAAGTTTGAATTGGTGATATTTCTGAATGAAAGACTCAGACTTTCAGTTTGCTCTCTTCCTGTTTTTTGTTTTTTGTTGGTCTTTTTGTTGTTTTGGGTTTTTGGGGTTTTTTGGCAATAAACTGTACGTAGATAATATAATTCTGTATATTTAGTGAGCCATTCTTAGTACTGCTGCTGTGTTTTAAATAATTGGGTTGGTAATCTTTGGATTGGATTCTCTGGCATTGTAGTGTTGGGGTGACACTTTGTTTGAATCAGTATTACTCAGACTGGAGTTTGGGAACATTGATATTTGTGCTGTTGTTTTGAATGGACTTCCTGCCATGTACACCTAGTGGCTCTTGTCTAAACATGTGGTAGCTTAATAAGCTAAATACTTGCACACTTTAGCTTAAGATGAAACGGCAACAAACCCCTCTGTCCACCCTTGATATCCCAGTTTGTGTATGGAAATAGTCAGCCATTTATTTACACATTTTCTTTGGACACTAAAATAAAGTCAGTTTAAATGCAGGTTAACAACATGCTAAGGGACGCCTCTGGCCAAGACCCAGTGTATTCTGTGGTAAGCTGGAGCTTTATTTTAAAGCAACAACTACAGGTTGTCTCTCACCAAAAACAGCTCCGCATTTTTAAATGGAGTTTTTAAAAAAAACCCAAAAACTGAACAACACACCCATTAGAGAAGCCCTGTTTTTTTGCAGTTTTTATTTATTTTTAACTTGTTATTTTAGATGTTTGCACATATCAACTGGGATATATGTAGTTGTGCTTATTGGAAGAACTATAGTACAGAAGTTAAGTAAAAACTGAATTAAATTTGGGTACTAGGAACTTGGAAGGGGGCCTGGGACCTATGGCATCAGCTGGTTGAGTCTGACTATGATCAGCTAAAATGGACAGTATTTACTTTAGATTTGAGTTACCGGTCTTGTTGTCATTAACAGGGCAGGTCATACACATTCAAAACTTGGGAAGAAAATGGTGCATCACTACACACTGACTCCAGGACCATTTCTCAGAAGTGAGGGTTTTCTTAATGAGAACGTAGGTTCTCCATCACAATTCTGGTAATAGCAAAATACATAGGACCTTACCTTGGGGAAATAAAGTAACTAGGGACAAAAATCTACCCAAGTGGTACTAACATGTTTGTTCATTCTTTTCTAACCTTCCTTCCTTTAAAACAATATGAAAACCATCATCAAACCAGTCATCTATGATGCTGTATACCACCTGCTTCTAAGAAGCTGCTATTTCAGTTCTTCGCACTGTCTTCTGAACTATTATAACACTGCACCTCCAGAGACACTCGGCTAGCTGCTAATGTTAATAGTTGCAACAAATTATAATTCAAAATAGCATCTGTGTGTTAGTTCTCCTCATGAAGCCTGGATAACCATTTGATGTATGGTAACTGAAAGCCTAAAATGTTAATTGACTGAACTAATAGAATTGTTCATTATAGTCTCTGCTTTACATGGTCTTTTAAATCTTGTTGCATACAAAAGGGCTAAATAAAAGACCAGAAGTGTTCAATAAGGATGCTTAAAATTTTGCTGCATCTATGAATGGCCTTCAACTCCCATTTTCATTACAGGTTACAACAAAGAACTTCTGAGAGAGCAAAGATCAATTGGCATATCACAAATTGATGGCTTATCTAGGTGTCAAATGTCGAGTGCACACATCTCAACATTTTATTTTGCATTTACACCCATGCCTCTGATTCCACTTATTTGGTCTAGCGTGAAGACAGAAAGGAGTTGTAGCATGAATGAGCATGTTATAAGATCCTACTGACCCATTCCATGTAAGCTGCTTGCACACCACTCTGGACACTTGGATGCCATGTGTAACTCCATTGCCCAACAAGAACAAAAGTTTGTTGATAAGGTTCAGACCATAGCTATGTCAAGACATTCAGTTTTCTCCTGGGAGAGTTGCTGCTCTCTTATGAGAAATGGCTGTCGCACAAATGGAATAGTAGTTGGCCCTTGTCCTAAAAAATTACAGTAAGCATAAGGTAGTGGAAGGCATAATGCAAGTAACATGAACATACAATGTTAGGCAAACTGTTGTGGGTAGAAAAATAGGTTAACTTTTTAACCATGCAAAAAGGCAAACGGCAACTTTATTAATGCCTTTTCCCTCCCGGGCTTACCCCTTTTTTTCCCCCCTAGCTCTACTAGGGAGGAGCAATGTAGGTGGTTTACAGGAGAGTTCTCAACATGAAATGATGACTTAAAATAGTGAGAGGTTTTGTGGAGAAGGGACTTGCAGCTGTCAAGAAAAGTTATAGTTGGCATGCAGCCTTATTTAAGGCTGCAAGATTGTAGAATCCTAGAAAATTAGGATTGGTAGAGACCTCTAAAGGGCATCCTGTCCAACCTCCTGGTCAAAGCAGGACCATCCCAACTAGAACAATCCAGCCAGGGCTTTGTTGAGCTGGGCCTTAAAAGCCTTCAGGGATGGAGATTCCATCACCTCTCTAGGTAAACCAGTCCAGTGTTTCACCACCCTCCTAGTGAGACAGTTTTTCCTAATATCTAACCTAAACTTCCCTTGCTGCAACTTGAGACCACTGCTGCTTCTGTGATTTACCACCACTACAAACAGCCTAGCTCCATCCTCTTTCAACACCCCCCCCACCCCTTTTTCAGGTACTTGAAGGCTGTGATAAACTGCCCCCTCAGTCTTCTCTTCTGCAGCCTAAATAAATCCAGCTCCCTTGGCCTCTCCTCAGAAGTCATGAGCCCACCCTCCTAGCCATTTGTGTCACCCTGTGCTGGACTCTCCAATTTGTCCACATCCTTTCTGTAGTGAGGGGCCCAAAAACTCAACACAGTAGTCCAGATGTGGCCTCACTAGTGCAGGATACAGGAGAATAATTACTTCCCTCAATTGGCTAGCAACACTCCTACTAATGGAGCTGAGAATGCTGTTTGCCTTCTTGACAAGAAGAGCACACTGTCAACTCATATCCAGCTTATTGTCTACTATAACCCTCAGGTTTTGTCAAAGTTGCTGCTTTGCCAGTTGGTCCCAAACCTATGGCAGTGTGTAAGCTTCTTCTGTCTTAAGTGCAGGACTCTGTACTTGTCCTTGGTGAGCCTCATGAGATTTCTTGTGGGCCAATCCTCCAATTTGTCTAGGTCACTGAATCGTAGCCCTACTCTCCAGCATATCTATTCCTCCCCACAGCTTGTTGGGATCCAGAAACTTGCTGAGGGTGCACTCCATCCCATCTTCCAGATCGTTAATGAAGATATTTAACAAAACTGGCCCCAGGATCAACCCCTGGGACACTCCACTTAATACCAGCTGCCAATTAGACATTGAGCCACTGATCACTACGCAATGAGCCTGACAATCCAGCCAGGTTTCTTTCTACGTTACAGTCTATTCATCCAACCCATACTTCCTTAGCTTGCTTGCAAGAATGCTGTGGAAGACGATACCAAAAACCATGCTAAAATCAGGGTATATCACGTCCACTGCTTTCCCCATATCCACAGAGCCAGTCATCTCATTGTAGAAGGCAGTTGGGTTGGTCAGGCATGACTTGCCCCCAGTGAATCCATATGGACTGTTCCTGATAACTTTCTTCTCCAAGTGCTTAGAAATAGATTCCTTGAAAACCTTCTCCATGTCTTCCAGAGACTGAGGTGAGGCTGACTGGTCTGTATTTCCTTGGATTCTCCTTTTTCTTTCTTCAAGATGGGCACTATATTTGCCCTTTTCCAATCAGCCTGGACTTCCCCTGATTACCACAAGTTTTTGAAGAATGGCCAGCAGCTCTGCAATCACACCAGCCAACTCCCTCAGCAGCCTCATTCACATCACATCCAGTCCTATGGACTTGTACATGTCAGCCTTTTCTAAATACTTCCCAACTTGTTTCACTGTGGAGGGCTGGTCATTTTCTCCCCAAACTGCTGCCCAGTGCAGTAGTCTGGTTGCTGATCTTGCCTGTGAAGACCAAGGTAAAAAAAAGGCATAGAGTATTTCAGTCTTTTTGTTCCTCATCTGTCACTAGGTTGCTTCCCCCATTCATTAAGGACCCACACTTTCTCTGACCTTGTTACTAACATACTGGTAGAAATGTTTCTTGTTACCCTTCACATCCTGAGCTAGCTCCAACTTCAGTTGTGCTTTGGCCTTGATTTCATCCCTGCATGCCTGAGCAATATTTATTCTCCCTGTCCAAGCTTCATCTCTCCAAGCTTCCTTTTTGTGTTTAAGCTCACCAAAGAGTTCTCTGCTAAGCCAAGCTGGTCACCTGCCATATTTGCTATTCTTCCTGCACATCGGGATAGTTCGTTCTTGTGCCCTCAGTAGGGGTTCTTTAAAATACAACCAGCTGTCCTGGACTCCTTTCCCTCTCTGGCTGGCCTCCCAAAGGATCCTGCCCATCATTTCCCTGAGGCAGTCAATGTCTGCTTTTCTGAAGTCCTAGGCCCTTACTCTGCTGCTCTCCTTTCTTCCTTTTGTCAGGATCCTGAACTCAATCATCCTGAGGTCACTGCTGCCTAAATTGCCATCCTCTTCTGCATCTCCCATGCAGTGTGATTGTATGCTTCAATTCCAATTAAAGCAAAATCATATTCCAGTTTGTTTGTTGTTTATGGTGATAACTAATAAGACACTTGTTTACAGTGTCTGACTTAAGCACCCAGCCTGGACAAGCTATTTCATTTGCACTGGGCAAAATGGGGAAAGAAATAGGGACATTTTTAAGCATATTTAATTTTATTTATAAATAAGCTGCCTTTTTTCCATGCTTGGGATGCATTACCATTTTATATGGACTTTTGACATGAAAAATTAGAAGGGGAGAAAAAGTAACAGTTGGTACTCTCGTTAACCTCTCTTCTACTCTGCATGTTTAGAAGTAAAAGGAAGCCTTTTTTATGAGGCTCAAATGAAGTGTAAAATTAAAATTTCTGTCTGGGGGGAGGGAGTAGGTTTTCCTTTTATTATTTGTATCTGTTCTAGTTCTAAAAGAGTTGTGTTAGAACAGTACTTCAACCACTATAGGTGTGGGTATATGAACATACTTGCAAGTGTGTTCTCCTTGTTAAAGTAGGGTTTTTTATTTGTTTTCTAAATGATCTACAATTTTTCAGAAAGTCCAACTATTCAGCTCTTGTATACCTTGAGAGACTGGCAAATATAATAACAACATTTTAATAAACAAGGCTTGAAGGTACATGGGTCTTAAGATCGATTCTGCTATGCTCTCATGCAGTTTCCTGGGCAAACTGCCAGGGACATTTCCTGGGATATCCTGTTACAGTATATTGGTCTGCATATACATCAGAAGTGATGACACCTGGTTTGCTTTTGCATGAAAAAAATGCCCCATCAAGTTCTGTAGGCAAACAGTTGTCAGGCTAGCAATTTAACCCTTACATACGTAATGCTTTCCTTGGGCCATTCCACATAAAAATCAGTACTAAGGTTACTTTTAACAAGGATTAATTTTCAAAAGGCCTAAACTTTGTTTTTATTTTTGTTTTTAAACATGCTGAAGAGATGTTTCAATACTTTTCTCAAAAGGTATTGTAATAATATTACAATATTATTATTGTAATAATAATTCAGTAAGGGGTGTACATTTCCCACAGGACAAATTAGC